TCGGCACTCACAAGATAAGAACACACGAGATAAGAACACACGATCACATCGCAAATCATTGGCAATTCATCATGACAATTGTGAAGCAGTTAAGCACCCAACTTGAAAAGAAATCACTGACATGAGACTCGAGAGTCACCACGTGCGCTGCCTTTCCTCGCCCTACACTTCTGACCCCATCGGCACTCACAAGCGCTGTCCCTGTGCCGAACAGAGAGGACCGAATGATTGCTACGATTCCTAATATAGCTACTGCTACCGAGTACTACGATCCTACCTCACGCCAAGAATACTGGGGGTGAGGGCCCACGCCTGATCCTTGTGCTGGGCAAAATTTGACAGCGCCTTCCGGAAAATCTAGTCGGGAAAGCCTTTCGCACGGAATTCTCATCGTAGTAGCGTCAGCACTTGGGCAGGGATCTTGGTTGAAAACAGAACCGGTATTCTGATCGATCCAACACAGCCACCCTGTAATTGCCGCCAGGTTCTGTTTGCGACAGGACTAGGACGAGTAGTCCTGTCCGGCCTTAAGAACCAACGTTCCGGTAGTCGACGTTGTAGGCTCATTCTTGGTCTTCTGAAAACTGTCCAGGTACGGAAAGGTTCTGCTGGCTTGCAGGTTTTCACACCCCAAAAAGTCCCAACTCCCTGACTTATCAGACTTGTCATCATTTCTATTTTGAGTCAGCTCTTTGGGGTAGCACTTCTTGGAGGACTGTCTGACCCAACAGTTTGCCTTTGCATTCGATTTAGCATTCCCTATATACGGTGAAACTCCGACGAAACAGTTTGTCACAGCCCCTCGTTTGTTGTCCTCTTCTCCCTCTCTGCCTACGGTTTACCGGGCAGTTCTATTTGACGATATATATATACGAAACAGTTTGTCACAGCCCCTCGTTTGTTGTCCTCTTCTCTCTCTCTGCCTACGGTTTACCGGGCAGTTCTATTTGTGACGATATATATTGCGCTCTGATATTCCTGTGACAATATATATGTCGTCAAACAGAACTGCCTGGTAAACCGGTGTTAGAGAGGGAGAAGATGACAACAAACGAGGGCCGGTGACAGACTGTTCCTTCGGAGTCTTACCGACTCATCAGGAGGCCGACCGAACCCTCAACAGTCCGCGGAGTTTATATATGACACACGGGGGTGGGGGCAGCCGCGGCTCAACCTACATCCACGTGGGCGGCCTTGTACGCAAAAAAGGTTCTGAACAGGGGGAGTTATAAGGAAGAAGATAAAAAATTGAATTCATTTCTTCTTGTTTTTCTTTTTTTTTCCTTTTTGTTCTTTTTGTACGCATTTGCGCTCTGATATTCTTGTGACAATATATTGTGACACACGGGGATGATGGGGCCACCCAGCGTTCAACCTGTCATCCACGTGGCCGGCCTTGTCTGTAAGAGGTGATGAACAGGCGGAGCTTTCCTTCCTTACTTTTTTTTTCCTTTCTTGTTTTGTGTTTTTTTCGCCTTTGCGCTCCGATACACGGTGTGACGATATATATACCCTGTCTTTTCGTTGACTGGATCCCATTCTCTTTCTCTTGCCTCTGTGAGGTTTGGTTTCCTCCTCCTTACTGCGTGCAAGTGGGTCCCTGTGACACACGGGGATGATGGGGGCAGCCAGCGCTCAACCTGTCATCGACGTGGCTGGCCTTGTACGTAAGAGGTGATGAACAGGCGGGGCTTTCCTTCCTGATTTCTTTTTCTTTTCTTTTCTCTTTTTTTTTTGTCTTTTTCCGCCTTTGCGCTCCGATTCACAGTGTGACACCCGGTAAACCGTAGGCAGAGAGGGAGAAGAGGACAACAAACGAGGGGCTGCGACAATATTGACATTATATGTCTTTCTATATATATTTTATTTTCAGCCTCCTGATGAGTCGGTGAAACTCCGACGGAACAATTTTTCACAGCCCCTCCCTCGTTTGTTGTCCTCTTCTCTCCCTCCCTCTGTGCCTGCGGTTTACCGTAAGCAGTTCTGTTTGACGATATATATATCATGTGACAACCCACATCCACGTGGGCGGCCTTGTACGCAAGAGGTTCTGAACAGGGGGAGTTGTAAGGAAGAAGATCAAAAACGAATTTAAGTTTTTTTTGTGTTTTCCTTGTTTTTTTCGCTTTGGCGCTCTGATATTATGTGACAATATATATGTAATAACATTATATATCGTCAAATAGAACTGCCCGGTAAACCGTAGGCAGAGAGGGAGAAGAGGACAACAAACGAGGGGCTGTGTATATATAATATTTATGTTCTTGTCCATAAGGAGGGAGATGCTAGAGATACTATAGACTATATATTTCGTTCTTATCGGCCGGTATTTATCGGTTCAAGAACAGCTAAGTATCCGTTGAAAAACAGGTTGGACTCGATCCGCCGGTCGCTACACCTCTTCTGCCCCCAGCGGCAATTGCAGTGCAAACTTCCACCTTTTACCGTCTGCCGCGGAAACATAATGCACCCAGGTAATCAATGTATTCAAACTATCTTTCCGGTTAGATACGGTCATGATGATTGTGCTGCGCTGTGTTCGGGAAGAGGTAGTGCCATCGCAGTGACCCCTTCCTCTTCCTTGAAGGAGATGCACAGTAATTAATTGGCATACTCTCTCTCTCTCTCCCCACACACACGCACACGCACACACAGACACAGACCGACGAAACAGTCTGGCACAACCATGCTTTTTTTTTTTGGAGTAGTGTATAGTGAACGTGACAACGTGGCAACACATGATTCACAGTGTGACAGTATATATATGTATGTATATATACAACGATGCATCTCTCTCTCTCTCTCTGTCTCTCTCTCTTTCCGTTCAAAGATATTATATATCGGTGAAACTCCGAGGAAACAGTTTGTCACAGCCCCTCGTTTGTTGTCCTCTCCTTTATCTCTCTCTGCCTACGGTTTATCGGGAAGCTCTGTTTGGCGATATAGCTGTGTGCAAGTGGGTCGATATGACACACCAGGGGGGGGGGGACAGCCGCAGGTCAACCACACCCACGTGGGCGGCCTTGTACGCAAGAGGTTCTGAACAGGGGGAGTTGTAAGTAAGAAGATAATAAATGAATTGATATCTTTTTTGTTCCCTTTGTTTTTTTTCGCTTTTGCGCTCTGATAACTGTTTCGTCGGAGTCACACTGACTCATCAGGAGGCTGAACCCTCATATATTAGCCGTCCTTTTGTGTGTGAACATGTTCTCTCTCTCTCTCTCTCTCTCTCTCTCTCTCTCTCTTTCTCTCCCTTTCGCTCTCCCTCGCCCGTGGCTTCCTTGCATTCTCAGACTTGCATGTAATACCACATTCCAGTTTTTCTGGCACGCCCCGTTTCCGTCTTGCATCTACGGGCACGAAGAGTTGACGCTCACGGAGGGGGGGGGGGGGGGGAGAGGAGTCTTCTCTTTTTTCCCCCCTTTTTTCATGGGTTATTTTTTGAATTCCGGGTTGAGAAGGCAGTCGAGGTACCTGGAGGAGGGTGGAAGAAGTATCTAGCGGGGAGGAAGGCGGGCCGGCGGGAGAGAGGAGGGAGGTGAACCTCCCTCCTCTCCGCCTACCCTTCTGCCGCCGAATAGAACGCACGGGGAGGAGGGAGGGCCGGCGGGTTGTTGGGCAGTCGTAGACTCGTAGGCGAGGAGGGGATCTTCAGGGGGGAGATGTGTGGCACGCCCACCCTTCTGCCCCCGAATAGAACTCACGGTCGCTAAAAAAAAACCTTTATTTGGGGCTCTGCTTCTAGTCTATATACAGCGATAATGGACCTCGCTGCACTGCTCTCGAAACGTGCAAAACGAGAGTGAATCTGCCGCTAGAATATGGAAATATACACGGCCATGAGTTTTGTATTTTGTGCATGTAGAGAGTAGTGCAGCGAGGCCCAATGACGACCGTGCGTTCTATACGGTGGAGAAGACGGATGTGGCGGGGGGAACATGAGGGACGGCGGGCGGCCGGGCGGTGGGTGATGTGGCACGACTACAGAAAAGAGTAACGAGGACCCCAAACGTCGTTAGACGTCGTTACCAGCGATAATGGGACTTCCGGGCGACTTTGGGGGGGGGGAGGAAGTTAAGGAGAGAGGGAGATTTGGAGCCAGACGTCGGGATCGGGATCCGAAGGAGTAAGAGGAGGGTCGAGCAAGAGGTTGGAGAGGAGGGTGAGAGGATGTGCGGATCAGCCGGCCGAGGGGTGGAGCGGGGAGGGGGGAGAAGGGTAGAGGCAATTCCACGCTCGAATAGGAGGCGATTTCCCGGCTTTTGTTTGTACCGTCGTCCGCGTTCTGGGAGGAGGAGGAGGAGGAGGAGGTGGAGGAGGAGGAGGAGGAGTAGGAGGAGGCTGCACGTGGGTGCGGAAGAGTGCGGGATTGCGATCTTTGACAGAGGGGTTTCAGTCAATCCAGCAAAAAGGGGGGATGAGGGGGTGGGGAGGTTGGCGAGGAAGGAAAGGGGATCTGTGAAGGAGGTGTATCAGGTCAGGAAAGGGGAGCTCTGGAGTGGAGGAAGGTTGCTATGAGAGGCAGGAGGGCGGAGTTTGAGCGTCGCGTCCACGCCCTCCCTTCTCCTCCTTTTCCCCTCCCCCCCCAGACACACACACACGCCTTGAAAGTCGGGCATAGTCATGCTTTCTTCTGAAGAGGTGTGCATAGCGAACACGACAATACACAGACCCCGCGCCTCCCCCGGGTTCCCCTCCCCCTCCTCCCCTCCGGATCCACACCTCTCCCTCGTTCTTCCCACCGTCCTCTTTCTTGTTCTGGCTTGATTCTCTACGGTTGACCTCCTCCCAGATACCTTTTTCTTTGCGACGGGTACTTCTCTTTCCCCCCCCCCCCCCCCCAAAAAAAAAAAAAACCTTGGTTCTTTCCTGCGAGTGCAACCCCTCCCTGCTTTCATCTGGGAAGGCAAGCCCTTAGGTAGTTGAAAAAAAGTCGTAATGACTTCTGAGTCTTGACTCGTTCCGTCTTCCCTCGTTCCGTCTTCCCCCGATTCCGTCAGCGGGAAGCTTATGGCAGATGATGATCAGGAGGAGGAGGAGGAGTGGGGGGGGGAGGAGGAAGAAGAGGGGGAAGAGGAGGGGAGGGGGAGGGGAGGAGGAAGACGAGGGGGAGGAGGGAGGGGAGGAGAAAGGGGAGGAGAGGAGGAATACCAAGTGTGGCTAACAGGAGAAGAGACAAGGTGGAAGAAGAGGTGGAGGAGGAGGGGGAGGGGGGGGAGGAGGAAGTGAATGGGGACGAAGAGGAGAGAAGAGGAATACTAACTGTGCCTACCGTCTTCACCCGAATACAACGTACAGCGATTATTGCTGTATCTAGACTCAAAGTTGCCCCAAATACAGCTATAATGACCGTACGTTGTATTCGGGGGAAGACAGTAAGGTGGTACTTCCCTCTTTCCCCCCCCACACACTGTATATTCACAGAGACTATCGGACCGGAAAGATAGTATATATTCATGATAGGTGCGCGTTGTGTTCTGGGGAAAGATGGTAGTCGGGGGCTTTTGGACTGCGCTAACAGGCCCACAGGCGTCCAGATTCCGTTTTTTTTTGTTTGGAAAAAAAAGAACTAAGCTATAGTGATCTCCTCCAGATCCCTTTTCTACGACTTGAGGAATCCTTCTCCAAAATATCAGAAATGAGTGTATTTGTTTTTTTTGGAGAAAGAAAGTATAGTTTTTCAACACGGTCACGTTGCTGAATATTCATGCAGTAATAATCGACAGTCGTTAATAATCCGAACATCACACTAAGAAGATGCCCACGATGAGCACGAGGAAGACGAGGAGCAGGAGGAGATAGAGGAGGAGGAGGAGGAGGAGGAGGAAGAGGAAGAGTGAGGTGAAACGAGGATGGTGAAACCGTTTCCCCGCCCAAAAAACAAGGGATAACGAGGATGGTGAAATCCTTTCCCGCCAGAGGAGGAGGAAGAGGAAGAGGAAGAGAATGAGGAGGAGGAGGAGGAGGAGGAGGAGGAGGAGAAAGAGAGGTGAAACGAGGACGGTCAGACCGTTTCCTGCCCAAAAAACAAGGGTTAACGAGGTGTGGGAGGAGGATGAGTGAGGTTAAACGCGGATGGTGAAATCCTTTCCCGCCAAAACGACAAGTGATAGCGAGGAAGGAAGATCCTCCTCCGCAGATGAGCTGAGGTGGAACGAGGATGCGAAATCCTTTCCCGCCAAAAGAAAAACAAAATCCTTTCCCGCCAAGAAAAAAACAAGGTATGACGACAAAGGAAGATTGTCCTCTTTAGATGAGCTGAGGTGAAACGAGGATGGCGAAATCCCTTTCCCGCCAAAAAACAAGGGACAGCGACAAACAAGGATCCTCCACTTCCCCTCCTCCTGCTCCACATTGTCATCATCCCTCTACTCTGTCGGTTTTCTATGGTTGTCCCTCTGCTCTGTGGGTTTTCTATGGTTGTCCCTCTGCTCTGTTGGTTTTCTGTCGTTGTTTCTCTGCTCTGTCCCTCTGCTCTGTCGGTTTTCTATGGTTGTCCCTCTGCTCTGTCGGTTTTTCTATGGTTGCCCCTCTGCTCTGTCGGTTTTTCTCTGCTCTGTCCCTCTGGTCTGTCGATTTTCTATGGTTGTCCCTCTGCTCTTCTCTGTCGGTTTTCTTTGGTTGTCCCTCTTCTCTGCCGTTTTTTTTTTTATGGCTGTCCCACGTTCGCTGCCGGCTTCTCCCGCCGAACACAGCGCACTCTGAACCTGAATGTAGAAAAAACATCTTTTTTTGTTTTTCCCTTGAATGTACGCAGTTTTCCGGGGCTGTACGGTCATGATGAGGGTGCGTTGTGTTCGGGGGAAGACGGTACTCGTGGTCCTTGTGCTCCTCGTTTTCTCTCCTCTCAACTGCAGTAAGCGTAATGGTGAACCAGGGCGTCATCCCTCCTTCACTCCGGTGTTTTTCAATAATAATAATAATAATAATAATAATAACAATAATAATAAGAATATTATTATTATTATTATTATTATTATTTGTTAAATTGTTAGATTATGTATATAATAATACTATTTGATTTTATCCTGCAGTATAGCGAATACCTGTTTTTTTTTTTGTTTTTTTTTTTTTGGAGTTAGGAGCATCCCTCTGATGTGAGGTGACAAGAGCACCTGCACATCTGAGGGCTTGCTTGGTAGATTGCACCGATCCATTGGAGGGGAGCTGCGCCTGGACATCTGTCTGATTTTACTGCTTGCTTAGCAGCAGCTCTTTTTTTCTGCAGGACGTGGGCTCGAACCCTCTGTTTTTTGTTGACGAGGACGAGTTTGTGGTGATAATGGGCGTGGGCTAGAACCCATTATCATCACAAACTCGTCTGCGTAACCAATCCTGATCATTGGTTACGCAGACAAGTCTGTGTGTGTGTGTGGCGGTGATGGTCCAGACAGACAGAGAGATGAAACCCTGTGCGCCTTGGCGTGAAGAGAGAGGAGGAGGAGGGGGAGGAGATGGAGAAGGAAGAGGTGGAGGTGGTGGAGGTGGTGGAGGTGGTGGAGGTGGTGGAGGTGGGGGAGGGGAGGAGGAGGAGGAGGAGGAGGAGGAGGAGGAGCAGGAAGAGGTGGCGTGCAATTGGGAGAAATTAAAGTTTCTTCCGCTGACGAGTTCCTTCCATGATTGTGGATATGAGAGAGGAGGAGGAGGGGGAGGAGATGGAGAAGGAGATGGAGGTGGTGGAGGTGGTGGAGGTGGGGGAGGAGGAGGAGGAGGAGGAGGAGGATTTCGTTACTGCTTTTATTGCTTTCACTGCTCTTACTTCTCTTTTCTTAAAAGTTTGTACGGTCTGCTGTGACGGATATGGTGTGGTGCATTTCTTTCATATTTCCCTCCTCGTGCATGTATAGGAAGTCGACAAATGGTCCCCCCCCAAAGAAAAAAGAAGGAAGGCAGGAAGGTGTTTCATGAGTAAATTACTAAATTGCTGTCATTGGTAATGCATTTTCGATTTGCATTGAGGTTTCGGAGTCCCTTTTTTTTTTTTTTTTTTTTTTTGCGATGTTGCCTGATGAACCATGGATCAGATATTAACCTGAGCAGATGATCAGAACAGATACTACACTACCGTCTTCACCCGAATAGAACGCCCGGGGATTGTAGCTGCATTTGGCCCAACTTTCAGTCCAGATGCAGCGATAATGACCGGGCGTTCTGTTCGGGTGAACAGGGTAGATCTTAGCCAAAAGGTGGAGAAAGGTTTTGAAGTCAGTTCTCGTTAGGCCTGACTGTCCGTGAAAGGTGTTTTTTTTTTTTTTTTTTTTTTTTTTTTTTTTTTTTTTTTTTTTTTTTTTTTTTTTTTTTCCCCCCTCTTCCTTCCAGTTATGTATATCAAACATGACAACATGAATTTTCAATTTTATTTTCAATTTTATCTCCACCGAGTTCTCACAACGGAAAACGGCTCTCTACAATCGATTTGGAATTTTGGAATGATGGACAGCGCGGGTTCCCTAATTGTGAGTTTTTTTCGGAGTACCAATCTCCAAGCGATGTTTCAACTTTCAAGTCTTTTGTATGGTTCAGATAATTAATCAGATCTGAAAATGGTTTATATTTCTGGAAATGGTTTCAGATTCTGAAAATGATTCAGATTCTGCAAATGGTTGACGCTCTGAAAAAAACTCACAAGTTACATCATAATCTTGAGTGTTTCAGACTATCGCTCATTTTAACATCACTTGGAGATTGACACTCTGAAAATGGTAAAAATGGTAAAAATGCTAAAAATACTAAAAATACTAAAATATAAAAATAGTAAAAATACTCTTTGAAAAATATTTTGTATTTTTCAATGCGAAAGACCAACTGTTGCAAATGGAAAATGACGATGAAAGCATAAAAACTTCGAGATTCCGTTGCTGTTGAAGAACTCCCGAGTTCTAGAAGACTTCACATACACCAAGAGTTCAGAGTGACGACCAGTTTTTTTTTTTTCTGTGTAACAATTGGAAGGGTACTCTGAACTGAGTCTGAAGAGAATACTTTGGGATTTGATTTGGCCGCAATTCTGCCCACATACATCCGGAAAAAGTGATATCTCAGTATGGCTTAATGAATCAAAAGGTCATTGCTTTTGAAGAAACGAATGGTTTGTACAGAAGCATGGGGTCACCATCATTTTCAACTTTTAAGGCTGCAAATAGTTCTTTTGACGTAAGGCAAGGAACATGGTCTCTCTTGCACTGTGTCTGGGTCTGCAATGGCTCGCTTGGCCATCATGGTGGCATCATTGACTGATTCTGCTAGAAAAATTTGCCACCGGTGTGTGTG